GTGGGATAGCTATTCTTGCATGTTAGCTTGCATTGAAAAATATCAACAATGGGAGTTCAAACAATTTCCCTGCCAGACATAATCCATGCATTATAATATATTTCTCACATGGCTATTTTGAGCCACTCAAATTCCTGTCTCACGTAATTATTCAAACTCAATATCAGCTAAATTCTTATTTAACTAGGCTACTTAACTATTGTTTTAAACATTAAATTCAAAACAGCTCACGTATTCACTGCTTAATTTAATTAAAAAAAATTGGTTGCCCTTCGGTTTTAAAGCTTCACCTTAATTAATCTGAACCGACCCAAGTCGCACACCTAGTTTGGTGGGTGAGTCTCCCAGCTGAGATTTTTTATATATACAAAGACTTGAACCTGAGACTTTGCTTAAGCGATATCAAGTTGCTTACCACTTGAACCAATCATGTTAATTAATTTAATTAATTCAATGACTGGCATGGTATAGAAAACAATGGAAATCCGGTCCTACCATTTATTACATATACTATACCTTTAAAAATATGTATTGAGACTTGAGAGTGATAGTATGATTTTGAAAAATCACAAAGATTTCCTTCTTAGCCTGCAATGATTGTCATGAGTCAACAAAATGACATTTTATAGGTAACATTGAACATATACCTAACGAGGAAGGCCTGGAGTTAGACATCGATGAAATATAACTTATTTAAGTGGTTGATGGGTGAAATTGTTTTGCTCACCTTTAATTTTACAATAACACATAAATTGGTAAAATCGGGTAAATAATCTATTAAGAATTATTTTTCCGTTTAATGTATCTTCAACTTTATTTTCTGAAATAGAATCTTTTAGAAAATATCATAGGAAAGACTCGAAGAATAGATGACGTCTTCATGAAGACGAAGTGATTACACAATGTTTTTGGTGTCATGCATTGACGACAATGAAACAGTAGAGGAGACGACCATACAGGAAACATGGGAAAGATGTTCTATCGTCTTCGTGTCTTTCCTGAACATACAAAAGATACCATCTCTTTTTACGACTTACACTTGATATAGTTTAAATCACCTCAGTTCAAAAATAATTCTTAAAGTGTATAATATTAAATTTTTTCCCTCACAACACTATATGGTTATATGGTCAGTTTTAACCAAAACAATATGTAATAATAATAATGAGAAATAATAGTAAAAGCCAATTAATTAACATAGTGAGAGTTAAACTAAAAACTATATAAATTAAATAGTCTAAAAGTAAAGAAAGCATGCAAATACGCCTAAATTAAACACTGATAATAATGAAATTCGATTAATTTTATAATTTCAAATACGATCCGATTATAGTATGCATGATAATGTGACAAAAGGGATAAATTTGTCAACGTAAGACAATTCTTTTCCATCTGAAACGACATCTCTTTCGTTCATTGGCACCGACTCAAGATGGTGGTTGTAATTGTAAGCAAATGGAGTGACCCGCTCGGGGGTTAATGTTAACTTATTGGTGGTCCATTTCGAACTAATTGAACACATTTTCTCTCTAGCTTGCTCTATGTGCCAATTTGATGACCCACATGATTGGAAGACTCCATTATAGATCGTGCCAAGTTTAACGAAATACACACCACTTTCAATGACAAATAATGTCCAGTCTTGTCAGTGTCCAAACAATAGTTGGAGCCGATTTCCAAATAATATCACCCTAATTAACATGATAATCGAGTTTCAAGCTTAAACCTTATAATAACTGTATTTTCGTGTTTAATTTTGAATTACATGTATAATTTATTCATCTAATATATACGAAAAAAATAGTTGTATTAAAAATTTAAGTGTGTGTTTAATTTACGGAATATAGTATTATTTTTTAAAATATAATTCTTGAGAAATAAATAAATGAGAGATGGATTTAATTTTCGTAGATGAAAATTAATGGATTAAGGGAATGTTATTCTCATTTAATGTCTTAAGTTCGAGCAACTATGATGTATATTATTAATAATCGGAATGATTTTTAAGATGATCAACCAAGTATTTCCATATGTATTTTCCCTAGGGATATTCGGATTATATATTTATTTCTCAAGAAGCCGGTGTTGGTGCCAAAGGACAAGTTCCATAATGCAACCTTTTCTTTTATGGATTCAAAGAGCTTTATATTATATAAATAAGATAAGAATGGGGAATTTCTTGAAAGGAGAAAGATGGGTAGTTCTTAAAACCTATACATTCCCCCTATGGACCCTATAACCAGCAATCAAAATAAATCGTCCACGAAACAAAGTGATCACTCCAATGGAGGATCCAAACCTGACAGGCAAAAAAGCTAAATAAGGAACAATAACTACTATAGATCATGTCTCTTTACACAAGGCTGTCATGTGGGTCGATTCTTAGTGGAGCTCTGCGACTCTTAAAATAATAAAAAAGAAAACGAAATAAAGTGCTGGAGCATGATGAAGTTGTATGGCAGCTCAGAGAATTTCTCCAGTAACATGTTGAAGGAACAGGAACCCCAATGTTTATTCAAAATTTCAGTTACCAAGACAAGATTCGGTTACTTGGGTTTTGTTTTTTTAATTACATTTGAGGTTGTGTCATGTGTGATTATATACCAACCTTAAGAGTGATCTTCATTGAAGATCCCAAATAATGTTGGGGAAAAGGAAAAGATGGAGGAATGTTTGATTTTTTTAGTACGAAATGGTAGTTTCAAGAGGAATATAAATGGCTTTAGCAGCATCGGAAATGGAGGTAACACTGGTTTTTACGGGTGCAGAGGATAATACTTAGATTCTGATCCGATTCAAGTTAAACTGAAAAAACCATGTCAGATAATCGAGATTTTTTCAACTTTATTGGGGGGATACCAGAAGAAATAACGTTCAAACGAGTGTGCAGATGACTTGGAATCTGCAGATTTGTCTTTTGCGTGTATTTCATTTCCCGGACAAGAAATGTTAACATTAGCGTATCAACAATTCTGGGTAGACTTGGAATTCGCAGATGAGTAATGAAGATATATACCGACGATGACACGTTTTACTTGAATTTATTCACAAAAAATGTTTGAATCTTTGAATTTAATCAGATGTTGTAACCATACATGGATAAAGATATTTGAAGTTAATTCAACACGTTAATAACTATATCAGTCACATCATTCTTCCATTGATGTTTTCGACCTGTGTTTTTATTGTCTTAAACGACCAGAGAAGACGACGACGGGGTCATGTGATGGACTATGGAAAGAGACTGTTAGAGATTTAAGCGAAAACAAAATGATTAACGCTTAATGATTGCGTGATTAACTTTACTTACTCGACCTGATCCAGTTCAGGATTCGACATATTACAAAAGAAGCATAATTTCAACGTTTCAGAGATGATTAACACATTCATAATGGAAAGCAGTCAAAAGATGAGTTAAAACAAGCATCCCGGATACAACTATGTAATCTGAGCTGCCTTGCGTTTGTATCAATGTGTGGGCAGGGGGAAAATAGTGTTGCTGCTTCTAATCATCATTTTCTTGTTGGTTTATTCAAAAAATATCAAATCCGTGAGGAAAATGATTGATTCCTAACGTAGAAATTAAGTTTCAAACATTTTCTCTAGAAAATTTTATACGGTAATTTATAAGAATGTTTGCCATCTAAATTTATAATTAATTACTACTTAACTAATAAGATAAACTAAGGGGAGACACATCAAATCAAGAAACAGATTGATGAGGGCCCTTTTGATACGGACTTGGTAAATTACATTTTACCATACTGTTGTGTCCTATTAATTCAGGAAGACATGGAGTTGAACCGCTAATCCAAACCACCAAGTAAACCTGTTCATGACTCGACCGAGTCTCTTGATCTAGGTTAAGTTTATATAACCAATACAATCTTTTATCTTAGAACAGTGTATAATTTTTTTGTAATATTAATGAATCAGACGATAGTATAACTTTATAAATTAATTTTAATGATATATTATATCATCCTCTTATTAAGCACTTTATATATATATATATATATATATGTATTATTTCTTAAATATAACATATTAAAACAATGAAAAATGATTAGAATACTAACTTCTACGCCCTTCACTATTTTACTTATTCTCTTGCGAATTCAAAGAAACACTTAACTAGGGGTATTTATGAGTGAGTTGATTGTAAGTTGAGAAGTGTTTGATTCGTGCTTGTTAAAAAAATTATTATTCGACTCAACTCAACTCGTTGTCCGTTATTCGACTTGTTACTCGTTAAACTCTTTAAAACTTTTACCTTATCATTTAATAATGTGTAAAATCTAGTAAACTATTAATTATTAATTAATATTTTAGTATATTTATCATCGTTTATTAGGAAATTAATAATTAATAATAATTATTAAGCAGTAATTTAACATCTTTTGTATTATCTCTTAATAAATTAGTAATTATTAATTATATTTTTAATAGAACAATTTTTTAAGATTTCTATTAAAAAAAATAATGAATTGCTTATGAATTTATCGGGGCTAATTGGATCTTACTCGATTTAATTCATTAAAATCTTAAATCGAGTTTGAACTGAGTAAACCTAAATTAAATATTAACCAACATTTGAACAAATTAAATTCAAACAACTCACAAACACTCGTGGCATTAAACACCTCTACACTTAACAACTTCACATCTGATCTAAATGGAACTCTAATCATTATAGAGCGTAAGGGACAAAAGACCCAACAGAATAACCCATAGGCCATATAGAGAATTGTTGATCAGTTCTGGACTGCTGGCACGGGCCTCTTTAAATCGTGAAACCAATTGAAATACGACGCCGTTTATGTACTCGAAGTAAGCACGTTATATTCGTACTTACGTAAGCCATTTAAATTTTATTATCCATAAACCACAAAAGAAAGGAAGAAGTTTTTTCCGAGCTTAAACAAAGTAAAAGGAGGGCTCTCCTCGATTAAAAGATCGATTCTCTAAAGTAAAACAATCTACGATCGATATCTGGGGTTTAATCGGTCCAAATTTCTTTTATTTGTTTTTGTTTTGGTTTTTTCCTCTTGAAACTATCATCATGAACTGCGAAGTCTGTCAACTCGAAGAACTGGTAATCAAAATGTTCTCTTTACGTTTCTTTCACTCTTACAAATTGAAATGTACTATTTATGCTTCTGATTGGAAATTTCCTTTACTTTTCGATAAATTCAACAATATTCTATTTAGAAAGTGGAGCATTTCGAAATTCGCGAAGTTTTGCGTTGTAAGTTCACTGTTCGATATCTATATTTTCCTTTTTTAATAATTAAATTTGTTTATCAAACTCCCCCGGGTTTTTAGTGGTTTTTATTTGATTAATTTGGGCAGTTAAAGTTTTTCCCCCCTTTTAAATTCATGATGGCAGGCATTTTACATACGATTGTGTTTCATAGAGCATTAGGTCTACTTCGGCCCAAAGATGTTGATTTGGAGCTTTTTGAAATTACTTATGCGAGTAATTTATGTTTTCAGTTCTACTTTCCCAATCAAAATTACCGTTTTTGTTTCCCCATTTTTCACTAGCGTTTGAAATCTGTGTTTTGTATGTTCCCTGAATTCGCATTTGTGATAAGTAGGTGCAATGTGGGGATGTGGAACTTGAGAAGAAAATTGATGAGAAGATTGATCATTTCATAAGTTGGGTGGAAAAACATCCCAATAAGAAAAGTCAGGTCTGTTATCTCCACTTAAGTTATAGTTCTTGCGAACTTATTTAGAATATAGTAACCATTGCCTCTGATTTTATGTTCAAGTTTTATTTTCGCTTATGTTGCGGGATGTATATGGTTATTGCCATTTACGTTTTAGCATATATCTTGTTTTGAACATGAGTTTTGGCTTGTGGTGCAGTTATGCTTATCGTTTTATGAGGTGAAAAGCAAGCAGCCGTCTTGGTTCACTAACAAAACCGAACGCTTGTATTGGGAGCAATGGTATGCCAATTTGAATGTGACTCAACACCCAAAACACCATTCAAGCAAAACTCATCATACCAAAGTGGTCGTTGACCCGGGAGGTACAACCATGCTTAAAACCTTAACTTTAAAAAAATTGTAATCTGTTTTTACTTTCTTTGAAAACTATTTATTCTCTTCCTCCATTATGGCGGTATATGTTCATTAAAATAGAGAGTGCTACTGAGGAGAGAAGTTCTCGCAGAGCAATGGTTGAAGCATCTCTTCGAGAGGTTCTGTTTCAAATAATAAAGTTTGTTAATGAGAAGAAGGACCATCTACCGCCTATATCTGAGGGTGTTATCTATTTTCCATATGAAACCACCATACCTAGGTCAGCTCTCTCTTCATTAATTTTTCCTTTTTTTCAGGTTAGTTGTAAGATAGTTGTAAGATGACTTATGGTAGTGGAAAGTTGCATTGTTATTTGTTTTTCTCTTTTGCACCAGAACTTTGGTGTTTATCGTCAAAATCCTCTTATGTGAAATATCAAGTTGGAAAGCCCAAAGAATGCAAAAGAGTTTATGTCTAAGAAGTTTGTGAAATAAATGACTGGCCCAATGATGAATGGTTAAAGATTTTAATGGAATCTAAAAGCAGATTCCAACTCAAATCAGGAATAAAACAGAAGTGAGATTCTTTTTGAATCTAGTAAAATTTATTTCCTAGCATTAAGTATATTTCCAATTGTCATCTGTTACAGAGTATGCATTGTACATAATCATATTTGAGTGGCTTTTGGCTTGACTAAACGGTTAATGTTGAAAGGAACACTAGTAAACCTATCTCTCTCCCTCCCCCCTTTCACTACTATTAATAGTATTTATCCTCATCCAACGGTATCAGATGCCCCATAATCATTTTGTTTGGAAGGAACTAGAATATGCTAACCCCTAATAGGGTTTTCTTCTTGAAAACAGTCGCTTTATATTCTTTTGTCTGTCTTCATTCATTCATTCAAAAAAGAACAAATATCTTTTCATTTGTCGGTCTGGCGTCCCATTATCCTACCCCCTTGATTCCAATGTGACAAGTTCTCGCTTCTGATGGATGTAAGATGTTTGTCACGTCTTTTAACACAAGCAAGAGATGATAAAGTATTATATCTACAACGGAGGTCAGAGAGTTTGTTTGCTTTTATTCTTGATGGGATTGAAATGACCTTTTATTGTAACTGTTTTGATTTGAGGAAGACATTTGGAGAACTTGTTATGGTCAAGTAGAGTAGGATCTATTGAGTGGCGCTGGATCCCTGGCTTTTGTTTTGATGAGCTGTTGTTGCCATTCTCATGTCTGTTTGTTAGGAAATTCCAATGAGGAATATGTTTACAAATGGTGAGTTAATATTGTGCTGCCATTACTCAGTTCATCATATTCTGCATTCGGAATGGACATGATCAAGAGGATGCTCCACAGTGGGCATCCAACCATGCTCAGCTGATTACCGGACTCGGGTAAAAACTATTCCACTACTCGAGATATTCTTAAATGCATGAATAGAACTTGTAACAAAGCACAGCAATGATCAGATGAAAGCTAATGAGGCAGACAGGCAGGGTTTTTAATATCTGAAGGTATAATAGCAAGGTGCATAATTTGAATCTATCAGCTTGTAAATATCATGTCATCTATTATCCTTTTCATTTTACTTTCTTGAGATGCCATCATTCACTGTTTAATCCTATTACTTAAAAGGAACTTCTCAACCCTACGTTTTGGAATTGGATTTGTTATATTCGTATCACGTATTCGTAGAGTATATCATGTCTAAAGTAATTAAGATTGAAGTACATTATTTTAATTATATTTTAAAGAACAAATTTGAATTATACATTGTTTTATAAATATGCCTTTCATCCGTGTTATTAGACTAATTTATAATTGCTTACAAACAAATTGAGCTATTATAAATTTTATTTTTATTGCAATATTCAATAAATGATTGAACTCAATACTAGGAATTATTAGAATATCAAATTTCAATTAATCTATTATACAATCATCTAAATAAATCCAATTAAACGATTATTATTTATTAATTTAATCATTCAAAGAACAGTTTCATGATATGTGAAATATTTGCAGCAGGAACTCATAAACTCTTACGTATTAATATTTTAGTAAAATTTATTTACTTATAAAAAAAACCCCAAGTAAAATTCATACGTTTCTCAAATAGGAAACGTAGAGTAGAAAACTGTTTTTATTGTGCAAGTGCGCGAAATCTGCTATAAATTTGATCTATATTGGAATTAAATATATTTTAAAATAAAAGTTTATCTTAATTGGTTGTGAATACAATATTGATAGATAATTAGAGAAATTAAATAAAAATATCTAATTTTACCCAAATGTTCTTTTTACATATGTAACATGGGATATCACACCGTCGACTATCAATGAAATTTTTTACTAAATTTTAGATTAGTTGGCAGTTTCGATTTTGAATATTATGAAAGTAATTCAGTTACATATATATATATATATATATCAATGGTTCGTTGTAGTCCGAACCATTATTCATTTCAATTTTCAAACTTTTTTCCATGCATGGCTAATAAATTCTTGATGTATGTTTGATGAAATAAGTTGAATTTAAGATTGCAGCAAAACTTTCCAGATCGCCAGCTATTCCGAATTGTAGAAGAAAATGAAAGTTTTGACCTTTATTCATCTTATTTCAGCTGTTTCAATCAAGAAGACTTAACAGTAAACTCGAGCACATTCCAAGCAGTGAGAGTAATAGTTGTCAATGACGCTGTTAAGTATATTTGTCTGCAATTTCTTGAAGGCAAGAGCACAGTTCATTGGGTCTTGAAAACATGACCATATGATCCGAGTCCGAAATCGACTTCACCTCGTCGGGCGGATTGTTTTCAATCATCCACCTTTGGTATTCTTCTTTCATGATATAATCTTTGCCGCACACTATGAAAACTCGACGAACTGATCCATGTTTCTCCTTGGTGACCGCAACCGCCTTGATTGATTCTTCATCATTGAAGAGGCCAACATGTCTGACTAAAGTTAGTGCAAGCGTTAAATTCTGCCCCCAAGCAAACAAAACAATGGAGATTGTTAAAACCTGAAAAATATATATGATAAATGATGGAAGGGCTATTGATTGAACTTGCCTCAGGTGGGGATAGCTGGTAGAACTTGGATGCCATGAAATTAGGCCCCAAGATTCCTGAAGTTGGTGGCTTATCTGTTCCATTGGGGAACACATATTCAGTGTCCATGGTCTTGTCGGAATCCAATGTTTCATTGAGCTGTCCCAGAGAAAACCAGTATTAATGGAAGTTGTGATTAAGAACCAGACAGCCAATCTGGTAAGAAATGCAGAAAAGGATGTACCTGTTGAGAAAGAGTTTCATAAGGGAGACTTGGACTGGGCATGTAAGCAGTGGCAAAGACTGCAACAGCAACTTTTTCAGGGAATCTTTCCATGGCAGCTGATATGCCATACCCACCCAGACTGTGACCTACTAGAATCACCTTCTCCTCTGGTTGGAGTGATGCCATGAAACTCATCAATGGTTCGAAGTAATCGAGAAAAGAATGAATCTCATGAAATTGCTTTGGATGAACCCCGGCAGCAGACATGTCCAAAGCTGTAACCTTATGCCCCATTGATTTAAGCAGAGTTATCACTTTATACCAACACCAAGCTCCATGGCAGGCTCCGTGAACGAGAACAAAGTGACCATGTTTCTTCTCCATCTTCAGTCTCTTACACTTCGGAACAACCTCAATGGCTTCCCTTTGAAATACTATAGCCGAATTATCTGAAACATATGTGCGGCTTTGGGAACTCAAATCTGCTGAGCTCAAGGCAATCGTCATTTTATCGTCGTTTTCTACCTTCTGAAAAACAACTAGAAGTTACTACAAAACAAAAACGTAGGAGTTAAAGATGATTTGTATTGTCGTATATAAGCAAAAAGAAAAGGGTACAAAGTAATAAGAATCATGGGTCTTCATTGTGCCATTCCTAGTACTTAACGCCACACCACAGAATCGAAAGAGCATCATAAGGTCGGCAGTTGAACATCAAAATCAATAGTAAAGCTCGGAAAGGATAAAATCATAACAGCAAGATCAGTTATATAGGCCCAACAAACCCAGTTCAAGAATCATCAATATTTGTGCTGAACAAGATTGCAAATATCTTCGATTTTGTCACCATCATTTTTAAAAATGGTGGGTAGTTTTAGTGGGATGTCCCCTAAACTATTTTTAAAAATGGTGTGATATTTTATGCAATTTTGTGACGTCATTTTTTTATAATAATTCCATTAATTGTTAATAAACCTCTTATAAATTACTATGTAGTTCTTCTAATCTTATCGTAGTTACAAAGTTTGAATATTTTTCATTTGAGGAGATGGAATCACATTATACGTAATTTCGTAAATTGTTCGAAGTTTTTTTTTTTGTTTTTTTTTTCACATTCTACTTAAGTCTCGAATAAATACTATAATTTATCTATATTTATTCACAAACCTAGCGCCGCTTTACCTTTGGCCTAGTTTCTCTTTGAGGTTGCTTGCCCCCTTTTTTTTTCCTTTGATGGTAAGCAATGAGATCAGTCTTCGTCTTAGTGTTACTTGCTGACCATCCTTATTTCTTTTTCTTTTATTTTTTTTCATTTTTTATATTGTATTTTTTTCTTTTAGTTTTTAATAATTATGTACAAAATTTGCTCTATCTTTACGATATGTTTCGTTTGTCTTTTGATATATTTTTGGTCTTTTCTATTGATTGTTCTTTCATTTAATTTTTTTCATGATTAGATTTGACGTCACTGCGACTGATCGAGACAACGCTTATTTGATATCATATTGATCTAACATACTTTGAACCCTCGATTTTAGATATGAGATTTATATTTGAAAATAATTTCCTTACAATACTCAACTCTGATTTACAATTGACGGTGGTCTTTCAATAACTTAATTCCCTGTTATGATTCGTTTGTCGATGCAATCAAATATATATACATATGGTCGTTATATAATTTTAAGTAATCAATTTCTTACGATAATAATTATAAAAATATCTTAAATATGTGTTTAGTTTGTATTTATAATTGTAAACATTCATTGTAATTTAAGAATGCAATGATATGATCATTTCAATCATTGAAGCCCTTGAGCTAAAAAAGAAATAAAATACATTGAGCTCAATTTTTTTTTCTGTAAATACGTAAAATCCTGCACAGCCTCGGAATTTATCTTCGAAAGTCCAATTCACTGCTACATAATCTGTACTATTCAGTAGCAATTAGAGTTAACAAAACTGGCTTTATCTGTTGTCTAAAAGTGATGATTGTATGTTTTTATGATGTGCAATGGGAATCATATCAACTTATGCCACTGCAACACCTATTTTTTCAGGGAATCTTTTTCCATTTCCATGGCAGCTGGGTGTGCTATTCCAGCCCATACTGTTGACCAACTAGAATCACCCTATCCTCTGCTTTCATGAAGTTGACAAATGGTTCAAAGTAATCGGGAATTGAGTGAACCTCATAAAATTGCATTGGATGAATCTCAAAACCAAGCCATATCCAAAGCTGTAATCATGTGGCCCATTGATTTGAGCTGTGTTATCACTTTGTACCAACACCAAGCTCCATGGAAGGCATTATGAACGATCACAAAATGACCCTCTTTCTTCTCCATCTCTTTTGGTTCACTCTCTTACATTATGGAAAACCTTCAATCGCTTCCCTTTGTAATCTTATATAACCAACATATCTCTAAATTATTGGAGTTGTCCTAAGTTGCCTCATAAGCGTCCGTTTGGAACGCTTCTTCTTTTCATTGAATGAAATTGAACAGTGACACCAAGGTCATAGTCATGCTGCACGACCAGAACAAGACCGGTTCAAATATCCTTCTCCTTAACTTGAATGATGGGAAAAATCGAAAGATTATAACTAAATTATAATTTTTGGTACATCATTGCATCTTTACTTGCTGAAGTTCAAGAATCATCAATAATACTTGTCTAATTTGTATCACATGTTTTGAAAAAAGAAAAAGGTCGAAGTTAAAAGAATGCTTGAGAAGGCTAAGTTACCTGACTACGCCTTTCATTCCTCATCAGAATGTATCCATCCTGCACTTTAAAGCATAGTTCCTGAAATGTTGTTAGGCTGCAATCAAAACAAGAGACAGATGTTTTATGAACACATGGAGAGCCTTGTAGCATTGACAAAAGAAAAAAGTTTAAGGGTCATTTTTGTTCCTGTAGTAGACTCAATTTATTATTTTTACCCCTATCGTATTTTCGCATTAATTTAGCCATCAGAATTGTTTAATTACATCATTCTATATTCTATCCACTTAAAAACCTAAATTGATAACCCTAAACTATAAACCTTAATCTCTAACTTAAAACCCTTAATTTAAAGTTTTAAGTGAGAGATAGGGTATAGAGTGATGTAATTCAACAACTTCGAGGATTAAATTGATGCGAAAATACGATAGGGACGAAAATGATAAATTGAGTCTAGAAAATGATAAATTGAGTCTACTACAGGACAAAAATTATCCTTTTGCCAAAGGAAAACAATCATAATAGGAAAATGAAGCACCATTTTAGAAGCGCTTCCGGATTGTATGGAAACAATTTCTTCCGGTGAAGGTTCTCCGCAGAATTTTTTAGATAAAGCAAACAATCCTTGGCAAGCTCATACATTTCTTTCATGTGTCCATATTCGATGCCACCTTTAAATTTCTTCTATAGGCACAAAGTTTTCGTTTTCACAGGTCCGGATGAAGGCTCTGTCTTAAAATTGGAGCTTTGCAACAAAAATTTTCTTCTCTTGTCAGATAATTGATTTCTTTGTTTTCCGTAAACTGAAAACTCTGTAAATGTTTGCCAATTATCACATACGATGCGCAAGCACCTACAGAATAAACAAAAGCCCGCACCACCAAAGTTACATTGAATCGGATTATACAGAAGTGAACAGAAGTCTTATTATGCCACTTTGTATGCCCAAGTTTCAGAAACATATTATAGACGAAAACTAAAATACATACTTTAAGAGATACTTTGCGCAACTAATTCCTGTGTCTTTGGAGATGAGATAATCGAGAAGAACTTGATGATCATAGTGCAACTGCAGATAGTGAACCGAAACACACAACATCAAGGATCATCTATGACCTACTCTTTTTTGTGTGTGTGAAAGTTCAATGACCTACTCAAATAAAAGAAATATAACCATTTTTTCTCATTAACATATTTATTGTTGGACAATGGAAACGGAGCCTGGGGTGCTTATAGCAAGATTAGGAAGTAAAGGACTTGCCTCTGCAAGGAACAGATGAAATAGGCGTATGGGATTAAAAATATCTATAACATGAAAAAGAACATCTATCGTCTCATCTTGAGGTTACCGTCTTTCTTTGTGAAATCTGTAGACAAACCAAGAAACAGTTTAACGAAAAACGAAAGCAGTATACAGCAATTTGAAATCTACAACAAGAATATTGACTCATTATTGTTCTTCACAAGCTTGTAGAGAAAGCAGTTCCAAGAGCAATTTGAATAATATGTCATCCTAAGAAAAACAAGGAATTAAAAAAATGGCACCCTAGGAAATGAAAAACGAACAACTAGTAACAGCAACTACACAAATAATTGCAATATACTTGCCAAAATAATGATAATAATGCACTATAATTTTTGGGAAAAGGAAAGAACGCACATAGATACAATGAACAACACACAATCATACAACCTTATAGTGTTTACCGAAGTTTCTAATGCTGCAGGGAACAGACCTCATGTATATACAACTTGAGGAGGGAAGATGAAAAGTTTATGGACTTCTCCCAGTATGTTTCATGGGGAACAAGCTCATCGACTGGAACATGTCTAGAAAGCCAAGAATGTAGGTCTGATAAACCTTTCTCTCTACCATAACAACTCAACTCCGAAATTGCATAACTAGGATAATGCTTGCTAGTATCTTTGGCTGGATTTATCAAACGGGATGAACACCTCAAGAAAAGATAAACGGCCTGTCTTTGTAAATGGCCAGACTGCATATCATGTACTTCTCCATCAGAATAACTTAACATAAAAGGAGAGCCTTCTAGACAATCATCTTGATTCTCAGATTCAGTTGAAGGATGGCATAAAAGGTCTTCAAAGTAAAAATGGAGAAGCTGCAACCAGGAAACAAGGACCAAACCATCTAGGGGTATTTGGAAACTAAGTCTGATCATCAAAACCTGCAATTCTATTTTTGAACTTAATTAGACTGCGTAAGTGCAAAAGTAAAACAGATCCAAGTAGCAGCAAAACATCTAGATTCACATACCAATAATTTGTGTTTGAAGTACAGAGAGATGCATGTATCGTTACACTCAGCTTTCTTGCCAAGGCACCAAGATAGAAGTTTAGGTACAAGGTTGATAATTTTGGAAAGAATCGCTTGCTTATCTACGGAATCATCTAATCCTTCTGCAAAACTAAATTGCTCAACAAAAGAACATAGCAACTGAATAAAATTCCCCAAGAACAAATTCCTGGGCCCATCCTTTTCACTACCGGTTCCACCGAAGATCTCATCCATTGAATCCCAAGGCGCATTCAAAATAGAAAAGCTTATCGAATTTAAAAACACCAGAACAAGCTCATCATCACACTCTTCCTTCAAAAACTTCAGCATATTTCTTAATATTCGAATTATTCCAGCTACTGTAAACAAGCAAGTATTTTTCAACTTAGGCTTAAACAAAACTACGACACTCGTTAAGTCAGAACCCGAACCCCCAACTCCAGTTATTGAAGGTTCAAAGGAACACGAAGATAAGTTCAAGATTGATAATTCGAAGCAAATACAGAGCGAATGGATAAAAAATTTCCAGCTTCTTACCTTGCAATAACAAGGGAAGAAAATTAAAAGAAAAAAGAAAAGAAAACAAACTTTAAAGTTTTAAACTTTAATTTGTAAATTTGATTAACATACAGATGAGGCTAGAAATTCAGAGAGGGTTACGAGAATATTGCCAGCTAAATGTTGAATGTATCGGCTTTCCCGAGTAAACAAAGTAACCTGAAAAGAAAATTTGAGAATCCGTGTCATTTAACGATTTGGGGTTTCAATAAAAACTGTAAAAATGAAAAAAGAGAGAATATTAAAAAAATACCAAGTGAGATATTGCCTTAGATAAACAATGGTGGTTTTGTGAGTTTGGGTTTAATGAAGAAGAGGTGTCAGTCGACTGAATCAAGCGGCGAGTTTCGTTTGAGACCTGAAAAGAGAACCAGAGATTAGTGATTGGAGTTAATAATGAAAGGAGGTTCAATGTAGGAATTTGAGAGAAAGAGAAGAGAGGGGAACCTGAGAGAGAATGAGAAGGAGGTTTTTCTCTTCTTGTTTGCTGAAAGAGAGATTCCCCGACTCCTGACATAGTAAAACAAAAGGTGGTAGAGATTAAAGAGAAAGAAATGAAGGAAGATTGAAATTTAGAGAAGAAAGGCACGCACGGTGAAAGGGCGGAGCGAATCGTTGATCAGACGGCAGATACGGGAAAACTCAGACTCAGTGAGCGAAGAAGGAGACATTTTTTCCTTTTTTTAAAAAAAAAAAAAACCCTGATATTGCATTTATAGAAGAGAAAATTTCCAATTTAGGCTTGTTTTTAGTTTTCTGCAAACAAATTCAATTATGTATTTTCATACAGTGCGCTCATCTCAGCTTATTATCGAACTATAGCCTTTGGTTTGCTTCACCAGATGGGTTTCGAGTGTTTAAGGCCTGATGGTGCCACAAATTTTTGCTTGCATAGATGGTGGAGGATGTTGTTGCTTGGAATTCTACAGTATTTGGAAACTTGAGGAATGGTAAGAAAAACAAGGGCTGGCTCTCTTTTCTGACATGATCAAATTTGGGGTTCTTCCAACTCCATTTACCTACTCCATGGTGTTAAATGCTTGTGGTAAGGTGGGAAGTAATGAGTATGGGAAAGTTATCCATGCCCGAATCATTGTTTCAAATATAGTAGTTGATTTACCTTTGCAAAATGCCTTGCTTGACTTGTTTTGCAATTGTGGTGATATTGAAATGGGGTTGAAAGTTTTTTCTTTTGAGTAAAAACCTTGATTTGAAGGGAATGCCATTTCATAAGCCTGATAAATACAGTTTTGCTGCTGTCATTTCTGCAACTCACAAAATCAGGATTGGAAAATAGTGTTTTCATAGGAAACGCTCACGTGTCCATGTTTTTCAAAAACGGTGACAGTGAATCTGCTGAGGCGGTTTTTAGTATGATGTTGAAGATGTATGTTATTCTTTGGACTTAAATGATTATGAGGTTATTCTAGAATGGCTGACGGGGAGAGTGCAATAAGATTGTTGGTTGAAATGTGTCAAATGGATACGAAGTTGAAACAATGTGAGATGGATCATTCTCAGGCTATAAAATCTGTATACGAAGTTGAAATGTTGTTGTGGTAGTCTGAATGACGTATGCCAAAAATGGAAACCTTCAAGCTGCTAATCCATATTTTCCTTGGTTTCTTACCCTGATTTCAAGTGTTGGAATGCAATGCTTGGGGAATATAGCCTCCATTGAATTGCAGAAGATGGCATTGAAGCTACTCGAGGAGATCCTACAACATTGAACTAAGACCAGATCAAGTGACATTTTTTTCTCCATTGTGGTTTGGTTGATATAGGGAAGTTCTGGGCTTATATGAAGGAAAATGATTGCACTACAGGACCCAAGCACTATTCTTACACGTCGAGTTTGCGTTGTCGAGCTGGATTATTAGACGAGGCACAGAAGTTAAAAAGGGGTCGGGAGATCAATTAAGAGATCAATATTCATGTGTTTACGTCTGGATATCAATACCTGCCGAAGCTGAACTGCATAGGTTATGAGAGAACATGACCAGATCAGTAACAAATGACTTCCAAGTTCTCAGTTTAACATCAGAAACTAAATTAAATGTGATTTAACCAAGATGTTTAATATCTTCAAACAGGAATAATAGGTTTCAAATCTTAATTCTCAAAAAAGAAAATTTTCTACAACGTGTTCTACAATGTTACAGTAATAAGGATCTTGTAGCACTTCAATCAATGCTGAAAAGACCGCAAAGATATTAGGATGTTTCACAGAGCTAACATCTTAGTTTTGTTCTGGATATCACCAACATGCCTACAGGATCCTTCAACTCCAGAGCAAATGACACTGCACTTTAAAGGAATACAATGGGCAACTTTCACCTTTATGTGCAAAGGATAATTCATGTGAATGGAAAGCAGTTCCACAATTTCCATATTAAAGCTACGACGACTAACGCCGGGCAGTTCGGGATTTCGGCCTTGATGATTCTACAAGAAACACACATTGATGAGGTTAGTTAAGAGAAATATGATTGGTACATGTGACACTGCAGAGTTGCAGACTGATGCAGACTCGGAATTTTAGTATCTTTGAACACATGCCCACTCTATTATGAAAAAGAGGGAAAATTTGAAAGCCATGAGAACACTCTACTCACAGATGCGCCCCGAAGCTAGCACCAGATCCTGTTGGAGCACCTGGAAAATAGAAACTCAGTCAGACAGCACAACATGATTAGATCAAAATCAATCAACCTATGTCAAAACAGGGTGGCTAATTAAAACAAATATGCTAAGCATGATCTGCAAATGAGATTACTTGAAAATAGAAAGAAGTGATTGCAGAAAGCATAATAGCAATAGAAGGTACCAGAAGCAAATGGTTGAAAAGAGCCTCCAGCAGATGGAGTTGAACCGAAAGCTGGTGTGGTACTAGAAAAAAGAGAGGGAGTAGATGCAGATCCAAAGAGAGATCCCGATGAGGAGCTGAAAAGGGATGTTTGGATGGAAGCACCTGTGGTTGGAGTTGCAAACAGAGAAGATGACAAGGAGGAAGCGGGAGTGGAAGACGGAGTACTAAAAAGAGACAATCCACCTCCAGAAGAAGCTGCTGATGGTGCTGCAGATGCCTGCGGGGCAGAGGCTGCTGCAGGAGTTGCAGCTGAGCCAGCAAGCAACCCAGCAACCTGATTGATGGTTGAGAATTCGCAGGTAAATGCAAGGTTGGATGTACCCCTTAGCAGCAGCTTCTTGCTTAGCAGTTTCTCCGATCAGCTTCAAGAAAAGGATCATTAACATCTCCTCGGCGACGGTGATCAGTAAGATATATGTTTCATTGATTCAATGTATTGATGAATACTCTCTGCCTACAAAACACAGTCATAGGACTAGTCAAATCTTTTTTCTTCTGTGTTTTGTTTTAGGTGGGTTGGAGATGTGTTAAGAGTGCAAGTAAAATGTCAAATTTAAGATCATATATTGAATGCATGTTATGACTAAAACAAAACATAAAAGAGCGACTACATAAGAAGTCATTAAATAAAACCCTGGTCTCAGCTCATTTTTAGTAAATAAATTTTCAAAAAGAAAATATATCTGCTGCTCCTTAGCATACAACCATAAGTTGACTGCCAATCAGACAAAACGCAACTGTGCGTAGAATGAAACAAGTAAAGGCATCTTTCTTACCTTGGCCACGTGAACAAAAAAGTCATGAACATTAGACATGACTTTTGGAAGAGATTGCAACAATGAGGATGCTTGATTGATATAGTTTCTGTCAGAATTCAAAAGGAGAAGCTGTTCCAACTCTTCAATACACTGGCGGCACTCACCCAAATATTTCTCAAATCTAGCAACAGTATACTGTAGAAATGGAGATGGCTTCTTGGGAAGCCCATGGTAAAAATCAAAAACAGGTACCAGGCTTGTAGCAGCTGGTTGAGCAACAGAACCTGGTGCCGTTGCTGCCCCTGGAGCCTGGGATGGTGTGATGGCATTTGAACCTCTGTGCTTGCATGAAGGAACCGCGGCGAGCATCATGAAAGAACGAACAGCAAGCTCTGTGTTCCTTAACATATCTTTTGCAGTAGCCATCAGTTCCTGCAGCAAAGCTTTCTGCCTCTCCATGGCAGTGGTATTCCTCCAAGTTCCTGTTGAAAACAAACATGCCATTCTATCCACCAATGTGAAGCACAACAAAAGGAAAATGACAAGGAAAGTGGTTCCAAACTGCAACTTTAGAGATCTTTTCTTTGAGCTCATAAAACTAGCATGCAAGGTAGGACTAACTCAGATCAATGAGTTTCGAAACAACTTTTAAATGTTGAACACCCGCACTTAATGAGAGTGGAAGCAACATTCTAACAGTTTACAACTTGTTTCGTATTTGAATAGTAACAAATTGATGAGCCACTCATGGTTTATAGTATGGACCAGATCCACCATCATGCAGCACATGGAGTAGCTTAGTTCATGAATGGAATGTAAGCACTCCACAAAAGGAGACAAAACAATACATCTAAAGTAAAATTAGATTAGAACTTTGAGCTAGTCTAAATATTCACAACACTTTTAAATGTTGAACACCCGCACTTAATGAGAGTGGAAGCAACCATTCTAACAGTTTACAACTTGTTTTCGTATTTGCAATAGTAACAAATTGATGAGCCACTCATGGTTTCATAGTATGGACCAGATCCAACCATCATGCAGCACATGGAGTAGCTTAGTTCATGAATGGAATGTAAGCCACTCCACAAAAGGAGACAAAACAATACATCTAAAGTAAAATTAGATTAGAACTTTGAGCTAGTCTAAATATTCACAACAAGAGTAACTACTTTTTGCTGTTTAATCTTTTATTTACTTAGACCACAATAAGGGCATCATATAATAGTTTCATGTTGAATAATAAATCATTCCTGATTATTCACCAAATTAAAATATATGAGAAGTCAACAAGCACAAGAAGAATGAACTACATAATTAAAGCTCATCTTCTCTATCAATGGAATGTTTACAGATGCAGGAAAAGTTTGACAGAAAGAAAACCAAAAATGAAAGCAAGCACACACTGCACAAGTTCATGTGAAATGGAAAGAAAAGGTTAACCTGAACAATGTGGCTAGCATCAAGCTCGAATCCTTCATTCGAAACCGAAGAATCATAGAGGCGACTACATTGATCTAACCTTTGGCTTTCATCTCTATACTCCAATATCCTTTCCCTACATTCCAATAAGATAATCACACTACTCACTACTAAGGGTGCCATATAACAATAATAAATATCAATAACCAAGCTCAGCCCATAAACCAAATCAGCAAGTGAAACTTATATCTCACACTTTTTCTTGGTAAAACACTATAAAAATATCATGCATGAAAAATCATGTTTTTTAATTAATCACAACAGATTAAAAAATCATTCTTTGAGAATCCATAACAAAATCCTTTAATAAGAATTGAAAACATACTCAATTTGAAGCAGAAACTTTTGAGAATCAGGATGCAGATCAGCCCATTTGGTGTTGTAATTAGCAGGAGTCTTGTCATTAGTAAAAAGAAAAAGGGGCTGCTGCTGTTGTTGTTGTTGTTGTGGAAACTGCAACTGTGGTTGCTGCTGTACTTGTTGCTGTTGGGGTTGGAAAAATGGGCTGCTGCTTTGCTGGAATGGTGATTGTTGCTGTTGGGGTTGAAACAATGACTGAGGTTGTTGGGGTTGTGGAGTTGCAAAAAACGA